ATTATATACACTTGAAAAGCATTCAGACCAGTGCCTGGAGCATTGTACACATTTAATAACTATTAGCCATCAAACCATAAACAACTAAGTATATGATTTCTGAGTGAGACGTGCTGTGAAGAGGAGCGAGAATGTGATGTAAAGAGAGTGAAATGACCTGAGAGCAGGGCTGGGGTAGGACTTTAGATCGTGAGGTCAGGAAAGGCCTCTGTGACAGGGTGACATGGGAGCACATGCTGGGATGGGGTGAGGAAGTGAGCCAGGCAAAGTCCCAGGGAAAGGTGATCTCAAGTGCAGGGTCTCCCTGGAAGGAAAGGATCTGAATATTCAAGGTACAAGAAGACTGGCAAGGAGGCCAGTGCAGATATAACAAAGTCTCAGACACACAAACCCCAATAAAGCAGGACCTGGGAGGAATTTAGATCCACCTTGGATGGGATAGAAAGACAATGACATTTTTTTTTTTTTTGCAGTTTTTTTGGCCGGGGCTGAGTTAGAACTCACCACCTCCAGCATATGGGGCCAGCACCCTACTCCTTTGAGCCACAGGCATCGCCCGACAATGAAATGTTTTGACCAAGAAACTGCCATGATGTCGTTTACTTTAGGAAACATGCCATACTTTGAAGGTTGGAGGGGAATTAGAATGGAAGCAGGAAGGTCAGGGAAGACCAGGTGAGAGACAAGGCTTGGCGTCCAGACATGGACATGGGAGCAGTGCCAAGGGCAGCGAGGAGACACATCTGGGTGTATTTTAAGGAAGGGTCATCAGGACTCACCGACAAGTATCATTTCTTGAGATGGGATATATTAAGAAAGGTACAGCCGTTGGCGGGGGGTGGGGGGGCGGGGGAGGGAGATGAGAGTTCTGCTTAAAAAAAATTTGAACCATAACACCTGTGAAACCAATGTCAAGTAGGTGGCTGGGTATTAAGTCTGGAGCTCAGGAGTTAAAATTGGAGGTAACATGATGTTAAAAGCCATGGGCTAAGTTTATGTACTGAGTGCAACTAGAGAAAGAACCAGACAGCCCTGGGACACTTCACAATTTAGGAGTAAAGCAAAGGAGAATCACAGGAAACTAAGAAAGGTGCTGAGGCAGGAGGAAAATCAGGAGGGTGTGGTGTCCAGTGAAGAAAGTGTTTCAAGAATGAAACAAGGGTGTGATCAACTGTCAAACGCTGCCGAGAGGCCAAGCAAGGCACCCTTGAAGCTCAGCGCAAAGTGTTTTCTCAGCTCCGTTTCCCACAGTTCTTTATTTGTACCATTCTCATTACAATTTCTGAGTTTTAGGTTGCATAGTTATTTTTGTCTTCTCCCTCCTTATGGTCAGAGAGTGTGTCTTGTTCCTCCCAAAAGATCCATTACCCTATTTGCTCAGTACATGTTTGAATGAACAAAGTAATCACGTAGAATTCAATAAAATCTAAGTGAGTCTAACACAGCATTACTAATTACAGATATGTTCTAAAACGTTCTCCTTCAAGACTAACATGTGTTTTGTTCTGCCTAGAATGAAAGACATCCACCATTCATCTGAGTTGGACTATTGCTAATTAAGCCCATCCAGCATTTCTATTCTTTTCACTCCAATGTTTCATCCACGATCCAGTCCAAAAATAGCTCAGCTTTTACCTGATTTGCTCCCTCACCTTTTAAAGCTGGCGTCAGAACACAGTGAGACATCAATAACTTTCTCACACTTGAATATTAGCATCATTACAGATCACATCAGACGGATCGAGATAAGTTGACATTTCATCTTACACGATAATGAATTTCAAAACAATGACAAAAGGAACTACAGAAACGTAGGTACTGCCAATGCCCAAACTCTTCAGGGAGCTGAGACTGAGATGGCACACTCAGAAAAAGGCTGCTATTGGGGGAGGGGGTAGGCTGCAATTTTTCCCTAGACTTGTACAAAATCATAGGGTTCAAATACAGTTTATAAGTCAGTGAGTTACTATCTCTGTAAAAGAAAGCTAAAACCCAAGTTTTGAGTAATAAGAATATCAAAACCCAACTTACAGATGTAACTTTTAGCAGCATAACTTACTTGGAAAATACACAGTAGACCACACAAAAAGAAAGTCATCACATCCTGAATAAGCAGTGTCCAGCCAGAGATGGTAAGTTCCTGCTGCAGGTGGCTGTGAAGTCAACCCTCTCTGCTTAACCTAAGCTGCGCTCCACTGGGGGCTCTGGGTTGCTATTCTCATAGACTGCTGTATTTTAGCTCCATGGCGCTAGCTTCACGGTGACTCCCTGAGAACAAACATTCACCTTTAATTCCTACTTACTGTCATACCTAAGAACTGAGAAGGGGTTTTCTCTAATCCATTCACCACTTGCCTTAGTTTTTGTGTGCATGCTTCATAAAAAGAACTTGTGGTTAATTCCCAGCCCTCTCTCTAAACCTGTATCTTACTCAGGCTGTGATCCATCATATTACAGCACTCAGCAGCCAGACTATACTGATGTGGGCATCATGAAAATCTAAACTACTGCAGCACCTGCACATAGCCCAGTACTTGGCGTGTACTAAATACTCAGTATTAGACTGAGTGAATACAGTCTAATGATTTGATAAATACATTTCCAAAGTGACATGAAGAAACAAGACATTATCTGGAGGAAGGATGACCAGACCAGAGGTGTTTTGTCTGGAGATGAGTCAGACCCTTGCAAACTTCTTTTAAATAGCCAGAGTTGTCAGAAAGGGAAGGATAAGATTTATACTATGAACTGTCGGGGTCATTAGGATCTGATAATTAATGTAGCATTTCCCAAGCTACAGTTCAATAGTGTGTTGTGATACTTAGAGAAAAATGATTCTGCAGCCTAGACGCTGGATTCAATAGCTCTCATTTTCAGAAGTAGTCTTAGAAGCAGAAGCAAGACACAAACTACTCATTTATGAAAGGTCAGGATTAATAAATACCTCCAGATGCTGGATGAGAACAGCTCCAGCTTTAAGGGCTGCCTAAATTAGAATGATGTTGAAACACAAGATGTGTGCTGTGGTCTACACGACAGCTAAAACGAATGTGAACTGACGCAAGGCTCTAGTCCACAGCGGTTCCTACTGAAAGTGGCTGATTTGAGTAAGCACATCTTCATCACTAATGCCACCAGAACCAAGTGCACTTTGTATACTGATTTCTGAATGATAAGGTTCTTTCTACTTTTATAGTTGGTGTTTTTACTGGAAAAAATAGAGCACTGATTACATTTAAGGTGTCATTAAGCAACCCCTAATTAAAAAAAAAAATTTATATACATGTGTTAGACACTCCTCGAAGAACTAGGGAAATAAAGGAAAAGGGTTGGTGGCACTTTATTTACCTTTGGAGGTGGGGAGGCCACAGAGAGAAAGCCAATAGTCACACTCCAAGGACTCCGTGGACATGTCCAAGCATACTGCCATCCCTGCACTGCAATCAGATTTGCTTTTATCTCACTGTTTATCACACTAACATATTACAAAAGTGGTTAAATGTTTAAAAACCTAAATACTACCTGAACTAATTAAAGGACTTAAAAACTGGGTCTTTTACTCTTTTGGTTCCTATACTGTGCCTACTGAGATTCCACAGTAGTACGATGTTTGTTAATATCAAATTTATGATCCATCCTTGAGAGTATTTAAAAGATCCTTTTGTGAAATGAAGCTACATGATAAATTTTTATAATTATGAAGTGTCATTTACTCTCAGATCATCTGAAAAGAGGCATATTTCTCTTTGCTCCTCCCTACCACTCCTGTAATTTTTAATATGTTCAGAGCAGGAGATATTTAGAAACACTTAAGGGGACGACGTTAAGTCTCAGGAGATAAGTAGTGTTTGGTCGACTCCATCCCAGTGATTGACAATGAATGGGTTCACACATTCCTAACTGTGCCCACACTTGGTTTTCCTACCAGACTTTAAGATTCTACACTTGCCTTTCAACTATTTTTGGCACATGCACCAGGAAACCCAACTTACCTCATGCCCAAATAGCAAGAGTATCATAAATAAAAAGTGAGACTGTCATTCTCTGGCATGACCCACATAAACCAAATTGAATGGAATGTTACCTCACATAGTCTATAAAATAATAAAGATGCCCTATGAAGATAACCATTAAAAGCTACTGTCGCTCAATGTCAAATCTTGTGTAATGTTTTCTTAGAAAATGATCAATTCCTGCCTAGTTTCCAGTGAACAGGATAAGCATAACGAGACTGGTCCACTAACTGGTGTGCCTCACACTTAGATTGGAATGTGGTGCATCCATCATCATCCTATAAAGACTGATGGGTCAGTTTTGTTGAATTATGAACAGTTTTGGACACTTAGATGATGCTTACCAATTTAACTCTGTCCATGGTCAAACTTAGGTCATCCAAATGAAAATCAACATTATCAAGGACAATGACTTTATCTACTCTGAATATATTCCTTCCTAATTTATAATGCCAATAATTAAGAAAACTTTCTTAGGCTGGGCTCAGCGGCTCATGCCTGTAATTCCAGCAATCTGGGAGGTGGAAGAAGGTGGATTGTCTGAGCACACAGGTTTGAGACCAGCCTGAGCGACAGCGAGACTCCATCTCTAAAAATAGCCGGGCTTTGTGGCAGGTGCCTGCAGTCCCAACTACTTGGGAAGCTGAGGCAAGAGAATCGCTTGAACCCAAGAATTTGAAGTGGCTATGAGCTACGATGCCATAGTACTCTACCAAGGGTGACCAAGTGAGACTCTGTCTCAAAAAAATTCTTTTCTTTTTATTTTTCTAGAGGGTCACTATCTACCAAGAGTAAGTTAAATGAGCATGTGAAGATCTGTGGCCCTCTCGGATTTTTGTGCACATGTTCTCCTTTATCCCTCATCCTTTTAATTTCTCTGAGAAACTTTTAAAACAGGTGCAAGACAAGGGAAATTGTAATGACTTCACCATAGGAAATTTAAATAAAGTTATTTCCCAACTTTCAGAAATAAAGACAGACACACACTTATTTAACTTTTTAATAAACCATAAAATTTAAATATTCAAATAAAAAGAAACAAAAATAGATATCTAAGCCAGCTCTAATGTCTGGTTTTATTCCTCTTCTGCTGTATTATTGGCTTCACTTACCTGGGAGGAGAGTAATACAGTTATGATGCTGGTGTAATAATGAATAAGTAAAAGTGGGCAATGGCTTGATTAACTTTACTTTCAAACCCAGAAATAAAGATCAATAGCTCACATTAGCCCACTGCAAAGACCGTTCACTGGTCCTGTCTGTGGGCAACTGCTCTGGCTCCCCTTCCTCACTGCACTTTCTTCATCACAGTTTAGCACTCCCTGGCATTCTGATCCTTTTGCTCACCGAAGCTCACTTCAGTCTGTCAAAACATCAGGGGGAAAATCCCCAAACCGAACAGAGGAACAAACACTTTTAATGTGAACAATCATATTCAGACCAACCTCTTTTGCAAAAATACAAGTCAGTGGATTTTTTATCCTTACGTAACTCAAATATTGGTAGTATTTTTTTCCTCTTTCACTAAGATGGCAGTTTTCTTTCATTTTATTTACAGTGGCCACTTGTTTTCTACTTGCTTCTATTTTTCTGTGATTGGTGCCCTAAGTTATTCTTTTTGACTGAGCCTTATAATTTCTATGCCAGAATATTAGATCAACTTTATCTCATTCTATGAATAATTTACTTTTCATCAGTGAAAATAACAACACGAAAAAGAAAAGGAAGTAGTGAGCACTAGCAGGACCTCACTTCAACATTTGTATGATTTTTTAAGAAAAACATTCCTTTTTTACGGGATCTATGACCATTACTGTGTGAGCATACTCACAGTGGACACCAAGCCAGCTCAGAAGAAAGCAACTGCAATGCACAAGCATGTTCAACTGGTAAAATCCCAGCAGCTTGGTAATAAAGTACAACAATCCTTCCTTATGTTGAGTAAGAACTCCAGTTACCCCTGGTTATTCTTGGTAAAATTAAGGAAAAGATGCTGCAGTCAGAAGATAGGTAATTTTGAGACTTCAAAGATTGGCTGCCAGGGGACTGTAGTGAAAAATTAAACCTGGAGCCAACGGAAAACACTAGCTTGGAAAAGAATGGGATTTTCCAAAAATGCAAAATGATCTCACACAGGTGCTCGGCATCCTACGATTTGACAGGCTTACAATGATAAACAGCAAAGAGAAACAGTTACATTATGTATACCTTTAGTGTATAGAGAACACAGATTTTAAAGTCGGCAGCAAGAAATTCTATGACAGCTCCTGAGATGTGTCATCCTATGCCCTACATCAGCCCCTGCCAATGACCACCCATCAGAATGGTAGCAGAGTAAAAAGTGATCTACCATATGTGAGGCAGAAAGTACTTGAAAACTGACAAAACTATATGTTATTAAATGACAAAACATATTTAGAGGCTTTATTTAAAAATCTCTCACTGTTCATTATCAAAGTTACAAGATTGTTTGCATACCAATAGACAGACTGTAAACATAGGAAATTTTCATTAAGGAAAGATGGGTTTACTGTAATTCAATCTATTACAAAAAAAATTACTGCAAGTTATTGATAACAGAATTTCTCTTTTACTTTCTTAAGTGTAATTCTCTTGAAAATTAAACCAATGTTTCCACTCTCTCAAGCTAAAGTTCATCATCATCACCTTAGGAAATATCTCTGTTTATTTGTTAATCAGAAATACAAACCGAGTGGCACATCTTCATAGGCCAAAGGTTTAGGCTTCATTATATTTTACAAGAAAACAGAAGACTTGCAGTGGTCCTGCGGATCTTTCGTGTCACGGCTGAGGTTTACCGACGGCAGTGGAGGAAAGCAGTGGTGATGCACAGACAGACCAGCCCAGTTGCCTTATCTGACGTGGAATCTCGTGCCTGCTCTGCTCGCAGCATGTGCAGTGTTTCTGGTCAGGCTGCCTCCACCGACCCTGACTGAAGCAGGAGGGTGACATGCTCTGGAAAATCCTGTTTAAGGGTGATTCCGGTCAGGCAAACAGTTGATCCTTCAATCTGTTGGTTGTGGGATGATACTAATATGAAGAAAATTATCCGGGTAGCTCAGATGTTCACTGAGCCACTGCAGAGGTGTTTCCAACATGGGCTCAATTCCATGAATCATCACTTGATTCTTTTTTTCCCCATCTATTCCAAGAAAAAAATCCAAGGATAGTCAGTGAGAGTCAAAACAGTTGAAGAAAACATAATGTGTTGCCTTTTGAGAATCCTTAGTGAATTAAATGGATTTTAAACCTGTTTTCTGCCCTGAACAGGAAATGTGGACATGGAGAAAGTTCAAATGTTGCAGTATGTATCATTCAAAACAGAAACCTGAGGGTTACAATGAATTCTGATAAAAATTCTGTTGCTATTATGTGAAAGTATTCATTCTTTCTTAATTACTGTGCTTACCTAAGATTGACGTTAATGAAACTATGGTGGCAAAACAGCCCACTGTACCCAATGACCAAAAGTTATTTTAGTTATACATTAAAAACTGTACTATATGGTTATTAAAAATGACAAGTATACGAAATAGGTCTAAACATATTTTAAAAGTGTAAAATAGAACATCAAGAATCAGATCAGTATTTGAGAAGATGTGTAATAAAATAAAAGAGAGCTTTGTTGATTTTCAGTTAAGAGTTTAAGTATATATCAAAAAGTTCAGGTTACTATTAGAACATTACTTGGAGTTTTAATCAGAAGGAACTAAGAATCTGATTCAAGGATTCCTGTTTTAGAATCACGAAACCTGCCTGAGATTTATTAATGCCCATTTGTTAATTAAAAGGGTGCTGCAATTCAGATTTTTCCTTTGAATTCAAATTTTATTCCAAATTACATTTATATTTCATTTTGTGTTTTTCATGATTTTAATATGATGAATCGATAACCTTGGTTGTTATAGGAAAACAAAGAAAGCAAAACTAAACTCTAATAAAAAGAAAAAAAAAATAGAACTATCAAGAAACTTTGGCACAATTCTTGCTTTGTCTCCTTTCTGATCTCTTAAACGTCTAAACCTCTCAGCTTCTTGGAGACAGAAGACAACAAGGAAACAAGGACTTCATGGGACTCCGGGAAGGAGAAATACCCTACTTTTTCTTTTCTGCTCTGTTCCCAATGACTTTCAAATCCCTAGGTTCGGATGTCTGGGCAAAATGGGCTGATGATGTATGGTGAAAAGACGTGGCCGGCATCTGAAACAAGAGGCTCTTTCAAAGAAATACTTAGACTTCCTGTTAGAGGCAGTCCTGGGAGACGATGGCCAACAGAGGACACAAAGACTGCAGAGAGTCAATACACGTAGAAGATCGCCAAAAATAAAAACCTGACACACCACCAGTTCTAAAGACAACGAAGGAAGATGTCCCAAGCAAACATCCAAACTACTGTGTGTCACAGTTTAAAACAATTTCAGAAAATGCTATCACTTCATCCTAGTATACTACTACCCTGAAACATGCTTTCACCGGTTTGAGTTTTCTGTCAGTCTTTGTTACATCTATACATACTTTTCCACACAGCTGTGACCACAGTGTTAATACAATGATTGGTACCAATTAATAATGGCATCAATCAACCATAAATAGGAGATTAAGCCATAAACAGACTGCTACAGAAAGCACAGTATTAATACTTCGGGAAGACTTTTTAAAATGTTAGTATTCAAAAGGATAAACACTTAGCTATCTGGAATGATTCACTCTTTGTAAATTCTAGATTGCCACGGTTGTGCTGTATTAAATCTTTCTTAGAATATTTGAAAACATTTCCGGTAGAGTTCTCTTCATATTCTTATTATATATTTCTTTGAAATATTTTAATATTCTCAGAATCTTCCTCCTACTTAGCACTGAGTCAAAAAATGAAAGAGTAGTGGTGTGAGAGTAAAAGTTCCTTATCTGTAAGGTTTTTCCTTAAGCCAGAATCACCTTTGTATACCATGAAACAGAAGGAACAAGTCACAGCGCAATATACAAAATACTATGTCCCGAACAATATTTAAACATGGGAGCAATTAGTTCAAACAAACATTCATGTCCATCAAAAAAAAAAAAAAAAAGGTGGGGGAGGAGGAGCAAATATAATATGGCATACAATCCAAAAGCCAACCCTGTTACAAAACACAGGCGAGGTGGAGTTTATGAGTTGTGCAACAAAAGCTGGAGAACATAAGCAATATTCACTATGTGAATAAGCCGAATAAGCCACCTCATCCGAGCTCTGACTAGGCAGCATTCATTCTCTGGTTTAGAAGCTGGGGCCACTTTTAATCTACAACATAAAGGTATCACTAACTAAACTTAGACAACTAAACAGAGAATGCGAGGCTGTCACATCCCTCCACAGAACAGTTTAAGGTTTTAAATACAGTATTTTGTCATTGCCTACCCATTTGTCCAGTATATATACTAGCGTTTGTTTTCTGATTTCCATCAAAAACATAATTATAACCAGAGAGATTCTTAGAATGGGACAGTGGTCCCTTTGGAAATATGAACTAAAGTTTCTCTCCTACTCATCACCATGTCCCGTGTGCCTAGTACAGCACCCTCCATATAGTAATTCGTCAATAAATATTTTCATAGTTTAGATAGTTTTGTTGCTGGCAGAATGTACTGCCAAGACTAATGTTTTGGAAACAACCCCATCTATTACTGAGCAAGAGACATGAACAGAACCTTTTTTGAGGAAGACAGATGAATGGCTAACAAAAAATGAAAAAATGCTCATCATCCTTAATCATCAGAGGTATGCAAATCAAAACCACCCTGAGATATCACCTAACCCAGTGAGAATAGCCTGCAACACAAAGTCCCAAAGTTGCAGATGCTGGCATGGGTGTGGAAAGAAAGGAACACTTTTATATTGTTGGTGGGACTACAAACTAACATGGCCTCTTTGAAAAGAAGTATGGGGAATCCTCAAAGAACTCCGATTAGATCTCCCATTTGTTCCTAAAATCTCATTACTAGGCATCTATCCAGAAGAAAAAATATCATTTAATCATAAAGACATACGCACTAGGTTGTTGAAAAACAATTTATAATTGCCAAGATGTGGGAAACAATCTAAATACCCACCAACCTAGGAATGGATTAATGAACTGTGGTATATGTACACCATGGAATACTATTTAGCCATTAAAAAAGATGGAGACACAAAGATATATGAAGTGCTCAGATAACAGGAATGCTAGGCCATACATCTATTGTATTAACCTGGAGTTGAAGCACATTCTTCTTGGTAAAGTATCACAAGAATGGAAAAGCAAGTATCCAATGTTCTCAATAGTAATATGAAGCCAGAAGACGATCTAATACACACTTGCATATCAGAAAAACTCAATTCAATTCAAGTTGGGGGGAGGAGGAACACGGGAGGGGAGAAGGGAGGGGGGATGGCTTAATGGGCACAATGTAAGGGTATATGGCACACCACTTGGTTGATGGGACGCACTACAAGAGGGACTCTACCTCACAGATGCAAACACTGTAATGTAGTTGTACTCTCACATTAACCTGAAATTTAAAAAAATTAATGTATAAGAAGAGTTTCTGATAGCCCTATTATGTAGAAGAACTCTACCAATAAAGACTGCTTCAATTATTAAAACAACAAAAAGTTAAAAAAAAGTTCCCAGATAAGCCAAATATATGTGGTGTGACCTTATTCATGCTATCATAAATAACCACAAAGCATGGCTGGGCATTTTGGTAACACTGAGACTAAAAAAAGAGAATAGTAAAAACTTAGTAGATTTTTTTGCTCTAACGGTAGAAAGGAAATACTTGATGATACTGCTAAAGTAAACCATGTTTTCGGTAAATACATCTTTGTGTTTCAAACTGGAAATCTAGAACTTAATATTTGGAATGAGAAATATGTCACTACAAAGAAAATGACTCAGGAGAAAAATGTTATTTCATATCTCTCCCACTCAGGTTTTTCAAGAAGTTGGTTTGAAGCTTTAAATTAGGCAAACAATTGAGGCAGTAATCAAGGGAATTAATTCTACATAAACTTCTTTCATAGAGGGTATTTGGGGGGGGATAATTTCTGTTTTTTTTTAAGAGGCAGGGCCTTGCTCTGTCACCTAGGCTGGGGTAGGTACCATGCTGCAGTCAATCACAGCTCAGTGTAACCCTGAACTCCTGGGCTCAACAGATCCTCCCACTTCAGCCTCCTGAAGTGCTCAGATGACAGGAATGCTAGGCCATAACTTTAACTCTGACATAATTCCAAATTTACAGTATATAAATATTCATGTATATAACCACAATACAGATATCCAAAATTTTAAAATTAATATTGATATAATACTACTATATAGTGCATATTTAAATGTGTCAGCTATCCCAATAATATATTTTTATTTATTCTAGGACCCAATCCAAGTGTGTCTTGATACATTTGCAGTGACAAAACAGAGTACCTGACACTGGGCAACTTATAAAAAACAAAAATTTATTTCTCATAGTTCTGGGCTAGGAAATCCAAGTATAAGATGCTGGCACCTGGCCTAGCCCTCTGTGGTTCATTGCTATATGGCAGAAAGTGGAGGGGCAATGGACAGCGAACCCAGTCCTGCAAACCCTTTTTATACCAGGATTAGCCATTTGTGAGAGCTCTCAAAAGGCCCACAACTTCCAACACTGCTGCACTGAGGATTAAGTTTTTAACACATTCAGACATGGCAAGGATTCACACACTGCATATAATTTTCATGTCTCTTTACTCTCTTTTAATCTGCAAGTTTGTAGCCCTTCTTTGCAACTCTTAACCTTGATAATTTTGAAGAGCGCATCTAATTATTTTGTAGAATATCCACGCAGCACTTTTTAAAACTTAGCATCTATTTTATTTTTATTTTTATTTTTTTTTTTTTTGACAGAGCCTCAAGCCATCCCCCGGGGTAGAGTGCCGTGGCATTACAGCTCACAGCAACCTCCAACTCCCGGGCTCAAGCGAGTCTCCTGCCTCTGCCTCCCAAGTAGCTAGGACCACAGGCGCCCGCCACAACGCCTGGCTATTTTTTGGTTGCAGCCGTCATTGTTGTTTGGCGGGTCCGGGCTGGGGATTCGAACCCGCCACCTTAGGTGTACGTGGCTGGCGCCTTAGCCAGTTGAGCTATAGGC